AAACACTGGAATCTGATCAGCGATAATGATTTTCTCAGTGCACTCAACATAAAAGATGGCCTGGTCCGATCAAGGATTAACCCATCTCCACCATCCAACCAAGAAAAAAACTTGGATGAGGAGAACGTTCAAATCCTTTTGGAACTTCTTGAAGAACAGAACTAACATAATGGTCATTTAGGCATGGATTTCGAAATAAAAATAAAAAATAAGGAATCCACTTAGTCTGATCATTACAAGAAAAGCTAACGCGTAAAATATTCTTTACCATCATTAGCAATAAAAAGTAAATACGTACAAAAGAATTAAACAAAGGGTGACTGATTAAGTGCGTAAAAAGGGCACAGAAAATATGCACTGTTTCCCCCGACACACAAAAAAGAAAAACAGGTGGGACGGCATATTATCACCGGTATAAATCAAATCATTAAGTGAACTAGAAACAAAAACCACCTGTACACAAACCAGTCCCTGCGTCGCCTAAACACCGGATGGGTTTTTTTTTAAACTCCCGCTCTCCGGTTATCACCAATCTAATGTGCCCGCTGGCGAGGTATGTGTTGACAAGTTATAACCCACCCATCACCGCAACCCAGCAGTGGAACTGATTTTACTCCCTATATGCGTATTGAATTTCCAAAAAAGGAAAAATAACCTTAACAAATACGCTCTAGGCAGTTTAGTCATATAACTACACAGGTATCCATACCAGTGCTTGTAAGTCTTAAATAAACGAAAATCTTCCCTAGCTGGTTGCAAACACAATGTTTTTTAAAAAAAAGATTCATCAGCTCGCAGAGCCCCTCGTACTCCAATGTTATCATACATCCCATAAAAAGAAAAGAATGAGGAACGGCCCTGCTGATGCTGATAGCAAATCCCATCCCCCTCCCATGTTTTAAACCCTAATTCACGGCGGCAACTTTCTTGGAATGACCTTGGAACTTTCCAACAAGTTATTAATATCAACAGATTATTCCCTGAATTTTGCTTGCACAAAACCGGTTCTTCCTTGCTATTTTCCTAGCCAGAAAACCACTTCTTTTTAAGAAAACACAAGTCTGATAAAAACTTAAATGCATGGTGGCGGCCAAACTCCATTCCATTTAACTTAAAATGTAGTGGCGACATGTATGATTACGCCCCTTCCTACTAAACACATCTTTGCGGCTTCCAAGACTGCAACCTGTCATTCCCAACGACGGCATATCAGCTGGCGAAACACAAGAAAACTGAAGGCCACCAGTGCAAGCGAGGAAGACAGACAACATCACGCCGTCACTGAAAAGTTTTCTGGATGACATGTGACATACATGGGTATACATGTACATGTTCAAGTATAATGTACATGCAAGTGCATGTACATGTTTTGTTTTTTAACTTCTGCATATTAACAAATCAGTTTTTTATTAATCGAAATTAGGGGTGGGTGGGTGGGTCAAAATAATTTGGATAAAAAGTCGAAATTTTAAAACACTGAAAATTCTGAATGGCCCCTTACAAAACTGTTTTTAATTAGATAAGAATGAAATTTTGCGTGGTGAAGATAACAGCAGGGTAATAAGTTTGCGGTGGCACAATGTGAAATTATTCCCGTTTGCGAGTATGTGGTGGTTCTGTCCATGATCAGGAGACTTGAACAGAGTTAACCCCAGATTTCCCTCCCCAAAAACCTGCAATCTGTCTACGACATGGCTGTTTGTTCCGAATGTGACACAACAAGCAACTTACAAGTAGATTGTGTTCAGCCATGGGGAAAAGTGTCCTAAACTTCACAATCACACCAAAATAACAAAAACAATGGCTGTTTCAGCAAGTTGCCAAAACAGCCAATAATTTAGGAGTTATACAATTTAGAAACTATTCTACTCTATACAGTGTGCTGCATGAAATGCACAAAGCAATGGAAGTAAGGGCAACACTTGTAATTGATGAGCTCACAGTCTTCTAACCTGCAGTCCATCCAGCTTGCCCACCCAGCTGGTCTTTTTAGTCAGGTGCCCTTCCCTCCAGACTGGTAAGTGGGAAGACTGCATGATCGGGGCACTAGACGTGCAGACGATGACATAACCCGACGCTTCGTTGTCTTTCAGCATGACTGGTCTAGCAGCTCAATCAACTGATCACATCCAAAGCAAGACAAAGAAAACATATTTGTGAAATGGAATTGGCGTTGGGGAAATGAAAATTTGTTACATCTTAGGAGTACCACCAACCTATTTATTTCCCTGCAATAAGTACATGAAGCCCTCAAGGGAATATACAAAATTAGCAGACATCAAAAACCAAAACTACCAAATTATTATGAAATACCTTACTAGACTGTCATTTTCAAGATGAGTGGTATTTTTTATCCATATCCAACACTGGTCGGCTGCCCAGCTTTGGGAGGAATTTTTTTTTTTTCAAATACTGCCTCCAAGTTACCAATGAGAACTTTTTGATTTCTAACACGAGCCACATTGTTTAGACCTGCAAGCTGAATGGCACTGTTTACCTGTGACTTGTTGTAGGTGTCATAGAGTCCCAGCACCGCATCTCTGTTGAACCTTGTCCACGAGACACGGATCTCATGCACCACCAGCTTGTGAATAAAATCCTAAAATGACAGAGCAATATCAAACAAATTCAAGAAACACAAGTTATTAACAAAGTTGTTGGCAGTGTGTGAATTAAACTATGTAGTCTATTAATTTTGCAGTTGTTTTATTTTGAAACATTGGATGAAACAAAGTGGATTGATATTTTCTGTTATTTCATTTCAGGAGGTCATGGGTTTGAATCCAACCTGAGTAAGCATGTGATTTTTTTCCCGACCACCCTAAAATAGCACAGTACTTATTATGAAATATAACGTCATTATCAAGTATAGTTGTGCTAGATAATGTCTGGTGGTATTCTTGAAATGCTTCACATTGAATAGAAATTTATTTCGTATTGTTCAGAGATGTCAGGAATCAAGGGAAACTCCCTTGGTCAATTCAGTGTTTAGATTTTGGAGACAAAAAAAAATGTATAGGAAGAAAAGAAAATGGGAACCAAAATATGCTGAATTACAGTCAATGTTGTAGTGAGTCCATCACAAGTCCATAGTTCTTTCAATAGCAATGTCAATAATGTTTGAAAATTCCACAAGTGCAAACTCACTCCAAGATATTAATCATTGATTATATCTCATCCAGTGCTATTCGTTTGTGTTGTTTCTATTCTGCAACCACATGCCCTCTTTAAGCTCAGATCAGATTAGTTCTGACCAAGATTTGATAGGTCATATAAGCCCAAGGCTTCAAGTCGGCCCTCAATTACAAGCAAGATTACAAACAAGATCACATGTCCTTTTATTAGTAAATCACAAGTCCCTTTACAAGTTCAGTCACAGGTAACAGGGGTTGAACAATAACAAAGGAATGCCAACACATTGTAAACGCATTGCAATACCACACATGTGTACATGATATGTATGTCTACTTTGAACTTACAATTCATACAATCATGTATCGAGCTATAGCATGGCGTTGATGATTTTTTTTTCTGGCCTGTGAAGGGACGGATTGCCTGAGTTTGTTTTTCCAAAATATGAAAAAAGCCTGACTTCAGGCTATATCCTGAAAACTTGCATCACTGCCCTGCACCCGATTTCACGAAGCGCTGCGACGCGTCGCAACTCGCGATGCGTCGTATCATCCATTTCACGAAAGTTGCGATTTGTTGATGCGATTTGTTGATGCGATTTGTCAAGTTCCTTGACAACGGCTTAAAACACGTCGCAAGTTACGACATGTCTAGTTGTCATCGCAAAATAAGAAGAGTCCCTTTCTTAGCCATTTTCATGCCATAAATATTACAAACACGACATTATAATACCGAGGCAATATGTGTAAAGTTGTAAATAGAACATTCATTGAATATTTATGAATTACACTGGAATATTGCAGATGAAATTTCAAGCTATACATTCTACTGAGAGCTTGTTTCCCTTCAAAATTGCATCGCACGATCGCCATTTTGTTTTACGTTTTAACAAATTTTGAGCGGAGATCCGACGACTAATTTGTTGAATATCAGACGACTATTTACTGTACGCTGATTTAATACATAAAACAGTGACCGAGTTGTGCTATAAATACACCTACGACGTGTCGCACGAACGACGTGTTTTGTGAAATGGATCGCAGGACGCGTTGCAGCTGCGATGCATCGTAAGGATATGACGAGTCGCAGCAGATTAAAAATAGACTGACACCACATATTGATGTTGTGTTACCTGTTTATCAGTCTGTGATGTGTAGAGGTAGGCGTGGCTTGATCTCTCTTATCTCAGCATTCATCTCAGCAATGGACCAATCAGTCTACGGAAGGCACAAAATATGAATGAATATTTAAATTTAGTTCTGCATGAATTTAGTAATTGGGATGCATGTAGCTTATTGATAAAAGAGAAAGCTTTAAAAATGTGAGTTTTGGAAATTTTGTAAAGAAGCACTGATGCCGAATCACTGAAAGAAATAACAACTTTAGTTATGATGAATTATGATAACATAGATAAACTATGCAAGCACAGTGCCGTTAAGTGTAATGTAAAACACCAATTGCACACTTGCTAAAATGTGGATAAATATAAACAAAGTAAACAAAAAACAATCAACAAAACAAAACTAGATTCCAAAACTATTTACTGTCGGTTCATTTCATGTACCTCTTTCTTATTAATTTACTCTTGTCTTTCCTACAGACTTGAGTATCCTGACTTGCGACATATCAAAAGATATCTACAACAAACGTCATTTGTGATGAAATTCAGCTTGCCCTGTGGCTTCTAAATGTTTACTATTCTGATAAACCTGTCTGGCAAATTGTTAATATTAACAGCCTATAGACCTTTGGATCCGTTAGATGTAGAAAACAGTCGCATGCTGTGTTTGATTTTACTCGTACAGCATGTACCAAAGAGCTACATAAGTGGAATCCAGGGACTGCACATGAGTGTACTCAACATCATGTGACATGGTCTGTGTTGATACAGAGGGACGTATACATGTACATACAGTAAATCGCCATCTTTGTTCATTTCAACCATTGCCGTAAGTGACATCAGAATGGGAAGATAGCAGTGGCTCATTTCATGTATACCTGAAGGTGAGATTTTTATTTAATGGGTCTACCTGTAAGTCTTTCTATACATCTGATATAAATCACCAGCATCACATTATCTCATATGAAGTACATGTATGTAATAACTCAGTTTTTGCCGATTACAAGTGTATACGTATTTACTGGAAATTCAGGTGGATCCATCAAACCTGTTAGAATACAGACATGTGGAATACATGAATCTCCTTGAATTCATGACAGAAATAAGTGACGTATTGTTTGTACTTTCATGTAGTCTTACAAACAAGTGTTAGACCTTTAAAAAGATTCGGCACAGACGTAGCTTAGGGAATCACAAAATAATAATAAAACAACCAAAAATAAAACCGAAGTGACTGGGGTAAATGTTTTTTATGAAATTTCTTAAAGGAAAGTGGACTTTGAGTCTACGATTTGAAATATGAGCTAGTTAAAGAACTTGAAATATTTTTTCTTCGGTGTTGACAATATTTGGTTGCAGACTCCTGCCCACCTCGACTCAAACCACCCAGATGACCCAGGCAAGCTCAGAGGTGGAGTGATAAGACGTCTCCACTAATAAACAGGAGGTACTGGGTTTGATCGAGTCCCACCTGAGTATTTAACAGTAAGACTGGCCTATTTTAAAACAAGTGCCCTTTTGTTAAACCAGAGTGCCCTTTTTGTTACCAGCAGCCTTTTACGAGTGCCTAGCTTTTTGGAATTTCATGCGACCGTCAGCAATTGTGCTGCCCCCCCAAAAATGTTCGGGACAAAATATGTTCTTACATTAAAAATGTAACCCTATTACACATAGGCATAGCCAACAGGGGAGGGGGGATTAGTAAGGGTGTTATTAATCCCCCCCCCCCTCATTGAAATGCCGTTTTTTCACCAGCGCTTACCCCCCCCCAAAAAAAAAAAATTTGTGAAGAGTGCCCTTATTTTGTTAACAAGTACCCTTTTGACAAAAAGTCATGCGTTTTGTGTGTCAGCGGCCTTACGAGTGCCTTTTTTCTTTTATAATTTAGCGCATGTATTGCCCTAAAAAGTGCTATATATGTTGTCCAAGTGTGCAAACTCGTTGGTTTTGAACAGCGCCCCCATCATAAGATGATACCAGCCCCCCCCCCCACTATGTATGGGATAATTTTTATTGGGGGGGGGGGGTGTTAAACATTTCTTTTCAAGAAATGTTTAACACCCCCCCAATAAAATTGACCTTGCTACGCCCCTGTTACACATTTTGTTGTCACTATTTGCTATTTTCTTCTGGACAAAAATATAACATCAGGTTTGAATCAAGCATGTAATAAACATTGAATTTTATGAATACTCTACTTGACAAAAACATTTTAACTCTGCATCTAACTTAGGGGCCGTTCACAATTATCAACATTTTCACGAGCGTACAAACCGTACGCTGGGGGGGAGGGGAGGGGGTTAATGGCCGCTGTACGTTTTTTTTTTTTTTAAATGTCGATATGTTTTCTCGCCCGCTAATGCCCGCCTAACGTTTTTTTTTTTTTTTAATGGCGATCTGTTTTCTCCCCCATCGCCACAGCCGACAGCCGCAACCGATGCCGATCGAGCGCTTGCCGAGTCGGTCGCGCCCTGCACCAGGCCCCGCATTGCATCCATGATGAACGTATTGTGTACAGCATGCGCGGCATTGTCCTACACACGTACATGAAAATGTACTGTATGTACATGTACATGTACATGTATAGTCTGTATCCACTGCGTGTTTTTAACGGCCGGTGTCACATGAAAATCGGATTCCTATGAAAATCGGACCCCTTTTTCCCTTTTATTGGTTAATCCCTCGCACGTGACAGGTCACTCTCCCCAAACGATCCTAAAAATAGCATAGTATCGTACTCACGCGTGCGCACTACTACCAATGAGTCCACATTTCATGGAGTCGGATATTCACGCTACACCGGTTGAACAACACCGGCACTAGCAATGGCGGACAATAAATATTCTAGCCACGCTGTTGACTTGGATCAATTGTTGAAATTCATCATTCGACAAGGATGTATTGTCCACAAGAATCCGACCAACAAATACACGGAGTTTGTTAATGCTTTTGTGTTTGTGAATGATCAACGCAAACGAGCAGATGTCGTGTGTGAGGGCCAGAGATTGTGGCGGAATGCAGACCGTGAAAAGCTGTTCGACGAAGTAGTTGATCAAGCGTTATCAAAGATGAAACGAGGGTCAAATCAGAAGGGGACGATAAGGTCGTTCTTCAAAGCTGTTCCAAAGGTAGTTTTTCTTATATTTTAAACATGAAAATTATGCCCAGAGAGTGCGAGTTTGTGAATTGCAAACACAGGCATTTGTTGTTAGTCCCACTAACTGGGGCGCTAGAACTCCTTTTCTGACATTTGTTGGGTTGAAAATCCGTGAAATTTAACCACTATTGAACAGACATCATACAGAGATCATTCAAAAACACATGATGGCTTTTATCTACTTGCGCATTTGTATAAATACTTTTGAGTATCATTAAAGCCCCATTACTTCATCTTTGAAATGTAGAAATGCCAGTAGGTGCTTTTAAAGGTATTTTTGTCAAGTATTTTGCGTGATTTTTGTGGTGAACTTTGAAATTGTCACTTTGACTTTTTTTTCGTTGTGGGACGCTAGTGCGACAGACCAACATCCCAAATGTCAAAATTGGAGTTCTAGCGCCCCAGTTAGCGGGACTAATTTGTTGTGGTATTTTACCAATCGAACACAGTAGGGTAGGGGGGCCTATGTCAGTGGAAATGTTTTTGAATTATATACAAATCACAATGATTATTGTTTGTTTGTTTATAGGGCCTATAGATTTTTTGCAATCAGGTGATGTCTCAATTTTAGAATTATTTTTTGCAAGTCCTGATAAATAACATTGCAGCCATCCTGAATGAAACTGAAAAAGAACATTGGCAAGTTCATTTCATTTTTAAATATTTTTTACTCAATGAAGATTGTCATGTCAGTTGTGAAAAGTACCATACATTGTAGGTTCTTGCTCTATTAAAGCCTACTTGAATTCTTTTCATTGTTCCACATTATTCCCTCTTTTTCAAATTTCATGCTATTATGTCTGACCTTTGTGAATGAATTGATGAGAAAATATCTGGCCTTTATAGGTCAGTTCCAGTACACATGATGTCAGGCTGAAGGAATCTTTAATACACACAATTATTAATAGCATTATTTTTTATTTTTCATTTCAGACAACAGCTGTTGATCAAGTTACTGATGACACTGGCCAGCCAGAACCAAAGCCAGTTTTTGTGACAGCTAATTAGGTGCCAGAGGAAAAGGTTGCGTCTTCACTTTGTTCAGAGTCAAGTTTTAGATGGGCAGATACACGCAGTTTCGTATATCGGCCATAAATGTGCCCCCTCGAACAGTAAAGTGCCCCCTCAAGATACAACAAAAGTGCCCTTAAAGAATCTTACTATTTCTTAGAAGTAACGATATCCCAATAATGGTATAGAAATTTTTGATATAAACGAGGAATATGAAAACGAAGTCCCAAAGCCAATACAATACGGCCTGAAAATGGGCACATAATGCATATTTAGCATATAATCATTGGTTTTGAAGAGCGCCCACTATGTTGGAAGATGGTACGAGACATGGTGTTCCAGCTGGTCGAGCTGGTGTTCCATCCAAATCTTGTGTATGAGCTCCTAACCCTAGATTTGGTCAAGAAGACTGAGGATTTGCCAAACACTCCACAGTCTAATAGTTCAGATGATGGAATTTTTTTCTACCAGAAACCAGGCCCTACACCACTGCAAGAAAAATACCCCCAGCTGCTTGATGTTATGATGAACTTTGTATGCATCCATGGTTTTGGTGCTCACGTACGCAGACAACTGGTACTGCAACATCCTGTGGAGGCACCCGGAACGATGTTCGGAAACACCTGCTTGAGAATGTGGAGGGCCTAGATAACATATCTCGCACCAAAGTGTACTATCTGATGCAACCTGCACGATCCAACTCGCATGAAGCTGCCCGACACAAGGACACACTTGATATACGGATCAGTACCAAGTCATGTGATGTCAGCAAAGACAATCCGAATGCCCATGAATATTTTGCGACCATCTTGAATGTGCGACAGATGTGTGCCATGTACCCGGACGAGTGTGTGGTATTTTTATGCGATAGCAAGGCCAAAATCCATATAGGAGGACAGGCTGTTTCAAGGTACTACCAGTTGAGAACTTTTTTTCCAAGTGATGATGTCCCACATTATGCTGATCATGACTTCCAAGTCCTAGGTTACTTGATCGAGCCTGATGGCTACCTGCAACTCCAACCGAAGGATGCTGAAGCACCCCGTACCAAGGACAGATGTGGCAGAGATGTGGTGGATGTCCCTGCTACTGGTCCCCTGTGGGTTTTCAATCGGTGTGTAAAAAATACATCCACAACTATCGATGACCATGTCAATGACCTGAAAGTGATAATGAAGGACAATCCTAGTGTAAACAAGCCTGTCCTGGTACTTGTTACTGATGGCGGCCCAGATTGGACCCCTAAGTCCAATGTGAACGAGTTCTTCCTTGGGAAACTGTGGAAGGAGGGGAAGTATGACATGCTGATCAGCACATGCATGCCAGCAGGACTCTCTCGCTACAATCCAGTTGAACATCTCTGGTCTCCATGCTCAAAGTTTTTGTCAGGGGTGTCACTACCAGCATGTCTCCCTGGTGAAAAGGACCCACCAGCACTCCAGAACATTCCAGCCGCCGAGAAAATGGAAAAGAGCAGAGAGTCTTTGCAAATGCACTTGACCGCCTGAACATGTACTGAGATGGGAGGGTCCACGATAAATTTAGGATCACTTCAAAACCGGTGTTACCTGATGCCAACGGTGAAAATGGGACTCATGCCGTTGTTAGAAACATGTTCAAGTCAAGTCTCCGTGTGATCCGATAGGATGCCGAATTGTCGGACGTCCTTGAAGAGTTGAAGTTCCTTTCCAAACATATGGACAGGAGAAGTGGTTTTGTATGCTTCCGCAAGGGCAGCTGTGGAATTGCCGCATGTGAGTGCAGAGAAGGTGAAATCAGGGCTTCTAAAGTGTGGAAGAGACCAAGTGGCGACAAGTTCCCTCCTATAACCCAAGACCCTGAGCACCCAGGCCATTACCAGACGCTTCACCAGTTGAAAAGATCCTTGGTCTTCAGCAGCCCAGATCGGCACTTCAAAAACTTTGAAGCAAAGAGCAGTACTCATTGCAGGTAGGTGTAGCTCTGAAGTCTGTTTAAAATTTATTTCAAAGCAGCATATATGCACATTGCCTTTCAGACGTGTACATTATTTTAAAACACAGAATTCTATATGGAGCAGAAATGACTGGTGGGCTAGAATGTTTTCATTGCTAATTTTTATCCCATCACAGTTTGCTCTTGGTGTTAAAAAAACTGTCTTCAAGTTTAATATCATACATGCTGCACAGCAATACACTGATTCACTCTTTGTCTTTTCTGTACTTTTAGATATATCTTCACCAGCAACGCGGATGAGAGAAGCACGTTAAATTTATTCATGGCGGTTTACATGCCCTGAGACTGAAGGATGCCACCAATCAAGACAAACCAAACCACAAGTGTCCAGTGTGTGATGCCCCTTTTCCGACTCGATATCAACTACTGAAGCACCAGAACCAGGCCAGCCACAAACTCAAGAAAGGACGACCGAGCACGAACTGAACCATTTTAACCTCCACACATAAACTTACACGGTTTTAGACAATAATGGTAGAAAGCTTCCCTTAAAATATTACTTGCTGAGGTGCTGTAGTTTTTGAGAAACAAGTAAAACAATTTCACGCAACTACTTTTCGTCTCATGAGAAGAAAATTATGTACAACGGATTTACGCGACTCTCCTGAAAAAATTGCTCTGTGATTTTCACTTTTTTCTCAAAAACTTGACGGCTTACATTGTATGAAACTGGAACTTCTACAGGTAACTTATAATACATACATCTTCATTCACACTGAATAGGGGTTCATGTCATGGCCAAAAACTTGATCTACAAAAGTTACAAAAACCCTTTAAATCACATGCAAGTGTCTATATATAGACTTGTGTGAAAAAAATCAACATTTTTTTTGTACACTTTTAGGGGGGAGGGGGGGGGGTCTCGAAAAAGTGTACTCTTTGTACACTTGTGAAAATGTTGATTATTGTGAACGGCCCCTTATTTCAACCAAATTATCATTTGAAGTTAAAATATATGTAATTACAAACATTTTACTTAATGTGCTTAATTTGTAGGTTAAAGGTCTCTCCTTTCACATCAAGTGAAGATGGCATCAAACGTTACAGCGCAATCAGTGTTGGAGAAGATTAGTGTGGATCATCTGGAATGCTCCATCTGCACCAACCGTTTCAGGCAGCCCAAACTGCTGGACTGTTTGCATACTTTTTGCCTGCAATGTCTCCAAGAGCTCAGACAGAGCCAAGATCCTAGTGGTACAAAGCTGACATGTCCTCTGTGCAGATGTGAAACCATGTTGAAAGGGTCTGGGGTTGCTGATCTCCCTAATAACTTTGCATTCAGTGCCCTGGTGGAAGAAGTTACAATGCAGGAAAAGCTACTGGAAGGGCAAGGGTCAAAAATCAAATGTCAAAACTGTGATGAGGAGAATCAGGCTATTTCAAGATGCATGGACTGTGATCATTTCCTCTGTCAAGAATGTCAAAAGGCTCATGGACGTATGACTTTGATGAAATCTCACAAAATCTACACACTGGCTCAACTTCAATCAGGACAAATTGTTTATAAGAGTAAACTAAGAGATGAAGTTCCCAAATGTTGCAAGCATCCAGATCAGAATCTTAATGTCTACTGCAACTCATGTGAGCGAGTCATATGCACAACTTGCTCTGTACTTGATCATGCAAAACACTCACTCACTGGATTACCTGAGGCCGCAGAAAAATGTAAGAAGAAGGTCACAGACATGGTCCGAAAAAGTGAGAACAGAAAAACAGAAATGAGCAGCACCATAGAAGAAACGTGCAAATCTCGCAAGGAGCTGGACACCATGTTTGCCAACGCTCAAAAGAAACTCTCCAAAAAGGCTAAAGAGGAGATTACAAAGATCAAATTGGAGGTTGCAAGGATAGAACTGGGGATTCCAAAAATCCAAAAGGAAGAACAGAAATTAAAGCAAGAGATGGACAGGATTTATCAACACAGAGTCAGAACATTTGAAGCTGCTCAGGCTACCAACAGGAAAGAGGTGACACAGACAGAGCACAAGCTAGAGGAGGTGAAACAACTCATGAATCAAGCAAGTTGCTGTGAGATTCTTGAACTTCAGCAGAAACTCTTGCATAACCTTGGTGAATTGACAGGGAAACAGCCACAGCAAGTTCCTGACAAGTTGACCTTCATGGACTTTGAAGAAGGTGAGAGGTCACTTGGGAGACTCATTCTGGAGGAAGAGCCACAGGCTGCTGCAAGATCATGTGTGAAGGAGAAATGGGAACTGAAGACTGAAGTCAAGAACTTTGAATTAAGAAATGCATTCATAGCACATGTTGCATCACTCTCTAGCAATAAAATATTTGTACTATCTAAAAATTATACTGGAAACAGTGGTGCACTATTCACAGCTTCAATTCCCACTAGTTACCAGGAACCATCTCCTATCCCACAAAGGCTACATATCAATGGCCTCACTGATGATGTAAGGTGTATTGCAGTGAGCAAGGATGGCAAGCTCTTTGTTCTAGATGGTCCAGAAGTCAAGGTCTTCAACAAGCAACATCAGCTCCTCCATCAGTTCACACCAGGTAGAGGGTCAGACAGCCAACCAACATGCCTTGCAGTGGATGACAGCAATTTGATGGCAGTGGGTTACAAAGGCCAGAATGAGATATCTCTACACAACCCAGATGGATCTCTCATTAGGAGAATGTCTGTCCCAATGATCGGTAATTATCTGACAGTGTACAATCACTGCCTGATCTACACAAGCTGGAAAAACAAAATGTTGGTATGTGTAGACTACTATGGTGCCAGTGTATTCTCAGTAGATATCAGCATACAGGGGGGTTGGTACCCTAATGGTGTGTGCTGTGGTAGTGATGGCAACATCTATATTGCTGTGGGTGGATATTCAACAGGTTTTATTCTGCATTACAGTCCTGATGGCAAGTACATTGGATGTGTGATCAAGGGATGTGGTCGTCCACGTGGCACCACATTCACGTCAGATGGTGATCTGGTAGTGGCTGCAGAACAGTTAGTAAAGGTTTATCACCAACTGTAAGGACAGATTAAACTGGGCTTCCATTGTAACCACCAACCACTTCCATCAGATATTGAACATGGCTATCACTGAAAAAGAACTTTAAACCTAACCAAACTCAGCCCATCAAAGTTCAACAGCAGGTTTTGTTTCAATATGTTGGGATAGGTACACTACCCCTAAACTGATGGTCTTTTACACTGGGGTTGGCATACCTCCAGAAACTGTTCAACAGTGTGTGTGTGTGTGTGTGTGTGTACAATGTCCCACGTGGGTGTTAAAATTTGCCAGAATGGGTATGTTCCTTAAGTAAATTAGGCTGGGGAGTGACGGTTTCAGTTCATCCCCTCAAATTACATTCTACAATACTGTATATTTGGTTTAATTCTAAGGTCTTTGGTCTCTGTATGTGTTGACTCTAATACCTCAACCACTTTCCCTTTGGAAAACCTTGGACTTCAACACCCAGCCTACTTCCTATATAATGTTAGATCCTGTGGCCCAATAATGAGGGCAAAGGAACAGGCGCGGATTCCAGGATTTCTTTAGACGGGGGGCACACCTTAAAAGCATTTGCTCTGAGGACTAATGCGAGCGTGGAGCACGAAGTCCTTACGGCGTGGGGTTCGGGGCCCGCTGAAGGGCCCCGGGAAATTTTGAATTCTAGATGCTCTGTGGCGCAATCTGACGCAATTCCTGGTCGCTTTCCCCCTGAATTATTTGTGCAAAAGTTGATGGTCTTGTATGGATTTAAAAAAAATATACATTTAAAAAATGTAGCTTAAAATATAAATTTTAAGCTACTGTGTACTTTAAAGTTGCAAACCATGTATTTTCGTCTTCATAATTTCTTGCCTTGTATTTAAAAAAAAAAAAAGGAATTGTATTGACTTAGATTGCAAACTGTTGCAATGGGGGATGCGCTGAGGCATTTGCTCCAAGGACTAATGCGAAGGTGGAGCAGTGTCTTACGGTGTGGGGTTCGGGGCCCACTAGCTGAAGGCCCCGGGAAATTTTTGATTCTATAGAAGTTCTGTGGTGCAAACTGAGGCGATTCCTGGCCCCATTTCATCAAAATGTTGTGAAGATTATTAGGGTTTTTTTTTCATTATTGCTTCGGTTTGCGGTAACACTATGTCTTTTATTAATTTTTTGTTCATTGGTTTGAATTGTACTCTTGTATTTCTTAATACAGGCCCAGTTAAGTTTCTTTTGTTCTTCACTTGATAAGCAAGTATTTTCGACTGCATAAACAATTTCTTGCATTTTATTTTTGTAAAGGAATCGGATAAGCTTAGTTTGTAAACTGTTTTAAGGATGCGTCGGGAGATCTGCCCCGAGGACTTACATGTATAATGCGGAGCGCAATGTCTTTCGGCGTGGGGTCCGGGAATTGTTTTGATAATTAGATGCTCTGTGGTGCAATCTGAGGCGATATCTGGCCCCTCTTTCCCTGAGTTATTTGAGCAAAATGTTTTAAGTTAAATAAAGATTTTTTTCATTGGTTTAATATACACGTATACTCTTTCTTTAACAAGCCTTTTAAGTTTCTTCTATTTTTCACTTGATTTTTCGTCTGCATAATTTTTTAGTGCATTTTATTTTTGAAACGGAATTGTATAGACTTAGTTTGTAAACTTTTGCAAGGATGCTTTTACTAATGTTTTGTATCAAGTATAAATTTTCAGTTTATCAATAAGATAAATTATTAGGTAATAGGGGAGAAGAAAGACTCTCGATGTTTATCAGCGGTTAAACCAAACGAAAATGGTGTTTCGTCAGAAAAAAAGAACCTTGTATAATAATTTTTATATTCAAGGACTCCACTATTTTATATTTATACTTTCTACGATGTACTACAGGACTTTTAAAGCTCCCATCGATCTCATGTTATTTATTGGTCACTGTTTATTGACAGATTCGTACCCTTAATTTAAGTGGAACGGTCCCAAGCTGAACACGTGTAGCTCGGCTATACAAGGCTTTTCAAGGGTCATTTTTGTAAGAAAAGTGCTTATTGGAAGACAACTTTGAGAGAAAAATGATCCCTGGATTTAACACAATGAATTTTACATGGAAGAAAGAGGGACTCAATTGTCAAGTGTCTCAATTCGTCACCGTTTTCATGTAGAGCCACATTTGTAGATTTGGAAGAAAAAGCGCAAAAGAAGTTTCGCATATTTCAAAACTGCCAAAAATACCACTTTGCAACCACTTTGTGCAGCAAGAAAACCATCACACGATTCTTCGAGAGCTGAATTTTTACATGAACCCAGTAATAAGACTTACATGTAATACAGCAGTTAATTGGTGAAAGTTAATTAGTAAAGATATGTGGCTCTTCGTGAAAATGCAAAATCAGGTTTCCGACATATCGGCCCTTTCTGTTCAACGTGTATTTCCATAGGCGCGCTTGAGTCATAGTGAAAAGTTTGGGGCCCAAACGCGCAAAAGATCACTGTGTGTGAGACAGCTCCACAGCTTGTCCAAATGACCTTGCGGTTTGCATACCGCACGCAACACGCTGACCAGTACCACATACATGTAGGATCCCCCACAGGTACATCATGCAAACTGAGGGACACGTCCATCCGTCCTCCATGCATATAGCAAGCAGCCTTTGTATAACTGTTTTTGGCATTTCAACGATCTGTTCACACATATTTTGTCACAAACCACGAGTGTTCAAACACATAAAGTATGCATAAAATGACATTGTTAAATGAACAAGAAAACAAACTAGACTAAGGTAAACAGGTTATAAAAACAAAACATTCAGTGCCAATGACAAGTTGCATTAAGTATATAGCTTCGACAAGTCCACAAACATGTCACAAAAGTGAACATTAAGGCCTGAAAAATACACGTCAACTACTTAAACGAAATCAGTGGTCCTCATGTGCATGTACATGTACATGAGGACCACTCATAGAGCTGTATGATACAGCTCTATGACATGTGCATGTTCATACTGCATGATAATCCACTGCAAACATTGTAATAACCCCCGAGTCAGTGGAACGGCCCAACACAACAATGCAGACTTACATGTAGGTCACGTGCACTCACAAGACTGACCTCTGCAACAAATCCAGTCAATTGGGGGAAAACTTTGACGAAAAAATGATCAGTGGTTTCTTAACCAATAAAATCGAGCTTTATATGAATAGAAAGAGAACTTCATCCTCTTTACAAAACCGCTACCCCCAGTGTGCGGTGACATTGGGTTCTCGAGATACGTTGAGATAAACAACCAAAGATCTGTCACAAACGGTCATTTTCGGTTCCGCTCCATAGGAAAATCATACCCCACATTTTCAAGAAAAAAATGATCAGTGGTTTTTCTGCTTTTCCAAGCCAGATTTAGTTAGACTTACAGCCAGAAGAATGAATTTTCATAATCTGCAACCCCCAGATTTGTGCGACCGTCCGTTCTGAAGATACAAGGAATTTAGTGTAAAATATGGGCTTTGTCGTCATTTCCCACGTTAAAGCTTGTGTGGAAATTTCCGGTTGAGCAGTTGCTTGCTACTTTTTATTATGACGCGCGCACAGCTGAAAATGTAACAATGATATGTGGCTCTTCGTGAAAACTGAAATCTCATTTGACCTACATATTTCAGTGCAATGGGTTTTGTACGCGTTCAAAGCGCCAAAATGTATGTGGCTCTTCGTGAAAACGCAAAATGCATTTTTCAAGATTTTTTCACCTTGCAACATTAATGTAACTTGGAAATTAATGATGTGTTTCTTACAGAAACATGTCAAAATGGTTAAGTACATATTGTTTTAAAGCAAAATATTGAAAATGGTAAGTTTGGACATATGTGGCTCTTCATGAAAACGGTGACGAATTTTGAGAGGTTTGACCGTGTTAAAGCTTCGTGTAGAAAATCCAGGGAGCAGATGCGCGCTAGTTTTCATGATTACTCAGTGTGATTTTGAACCAAAGCGATATTTTTAAAAGTAAATCATAATGCAATCCGTTGGTTGTCTCTTTCACAGTGCTTTGTGAGTGCCTCATCAAATTAATATTAGCTTTATTACATTCACAACCAAATTGAAAATATAAACCTTGTGCATTCTACTGCAATGATACATGGATGTTTGTAAATGTGGTTGGTATGATGGATGTACATTTGTAAACTGAAATCTTTTTTCTTTGCCTTTCTAAAATGTGAATAGTTGAATACGACAATAGAAGATGCATTTGGGACATTCTCTGAATTTGGGGTCAACTTTTTCTTGTCCCTATAGGTATGTCTGGCATCTACGATTTTGAAATAGCAGATGCACTCCTTTATGTGTGTACTCTTCCTCCAAGAATGCTTCTGTGAACCAAATGACCTACCCAAGAAGTATTAATTAGTTTGAAGTCATTTGGGATGCCACTTGAATGGCAAATGATACATTTCAGAGGTTACAGGGACAGGAAAAATGTCTGACTTTGGACTCTAAATGTATAGAATGAACTAGTTGTGAGAAGTTTCCATATCATTACAATAATAGTTTAGTTTACTCCATAAATGATTGAGGCTTTTGCTTCTTTGAATAAGTATAATTGGTTTGCTACATGCTGATAGACCAAGTAGTCTAAATGAAGCAATGAGCATTTGCTTTCATTACAGAATATCTCTCCAAGAGAATGCAGCTTCCATGACAACAATGGCACTTCAGCCAAGATCCAAAGTCTGTTATCTTACCAATCAGCATCTCACATACATTTCAGCTGCATTTACCACTGGGCATGTGTGACTCCTGGGGTTATTTGCGTATGTAATTACATGTAGGGCTGCCTATTTTACACCGATGATGCGACTCACAAAGATATCTTTGTATTTTATCATTTATAGACCACTTAATTTGGGAGCCGTACGTTGTTATTGTATCACTGGTTTAATAGTGCATTCGATGTATATTTTGTCGAAGACATTTTTAAAAACTCTTTCTGAGAACGTAGAAACAGTGATTTTTATGAAACACCGTCTTTTCTGAGGTGTAATTTGTTTACATTTAGGACCATTTTGATTTTCAACAAAAACATAATTTCAGAGGTTTCCCCAACATTCATACTTGTACACAATGGTAGAGGGGATCATCAAGTAATCAGATTTGTGAACAAATTTTCGCTTGATGTCTATTATTTCTT